AAACCTGACGTTTGGTTAGTTGAAGTTTGTGTGTCCTATTTTTGCCATAAATCTAAGCATGAGCAGTGTTACACATGTCCACTTTTGGGGGCTAAGGAAACATTGGTATGCCAATGGTACAACATTGCCGCTATGCTTCCACAGCCCTTGGACAAGCCTGCGGGATCTTCTGACTTAGCCCAAGTAGATGAATCAGGTGAGTTCTTTGAGCAAACGCCACCAAACTCACCAGAGGAAGGGGAGATCATACCAACTTCCAGCGAGGAACTTGATGTGCCTCCACCGCCTACAAAGAAACGGAAGTATTCTGCTCGAGTGCCAGGGGCCACTCTTGATGTTTTGGGTTGTAGAGTGGCCTGACTAAAGTATGCTCTTTTTATTCACCGGTACTTAGCTGTCCTTGGGTTTGTGCCATGGACCCGGGCCAAATACACCAAGGTTTGCCAATCAGCTCACAAAAGGTTGCTGGGAGTTGGCAGTACAATTTTGCAGAACCTGCGTCAAGGCAAGCCAGGGTACACCATGACCCAGGACCGAGTTCCCCATGCCAAGCATCCGACCCTTGGGATGTCCCTTCGCACTTCCAGCACTCAGAAATGGCACCACGTACTCGCGTTCTTTTGGTACCTGTACATCAGTACAGCAGAGGTCCTGCCAACAAAATTTGCAATGCCCTCGGAAGATGTCAGACAAAAGAATGATGATGATTTTGATGAACGATACGTGCAGGGTTTCTTGAGGAATCTTGATGCTCAATTCGGAGTAATATCGGATGACCAAATCGGCCCCGGCAGCTTTGCCGGGCCCAGGAGGTACCTGGAGCATGCGCAGCCAATTGATTTATTTTACCAGTACATGGTGGCAGAGGAAGCAGATGGACGCACGCCAGCTACTTTGAGCACCTTCATGCGTGTCTTTCACAAAGTATTCAAACATCACATTAAATTTCGTGACAAGAAAGAGCACGCTGAGTGCAACATCTGCGGAAACTTCAAGAAGAAAATCAAGGAGGCCAAGACGAAGGCAGCTCGGGCTGACAAGGTGAGCCAGTACAGCACACACTTGTTAAGCCAATGGCTTGACAGACAAATATATTGGAAGCTGAGGGAGCTATCACGCTCATTCTTTCGCACTTCATTGCCTGCCACCATTCCTGAAAGTGTATATTCTTCGTGCTTGACGCAAATAGTTGATGGAATGGATCAATCCAAGCTAAGATGTCCAAAGTTTGGTTACGACCGTCTGACCAAATCACTGGAGAGGCTCTTCAGACCAAGTTTGCACTTGGTATGTGCTTACATCCACGGTTACAAAGCATTTCTGCCCATCACTGATGAGAATGTCAAAAAGGATGCCGAGACTCAGTGCGAGATCATCATTCGCTCCTTAGGCCACCTAGCAGACAATGTAGCCAGATTTCCATTGGGGTACCACCTACAACAAGACAATTGCCCAAGAGAAGGGAAAAATCAGTTCTTACTGAATCTGATGCTCCTCCTGCAAGTGCTCGGAATATTTAGATGGACACGTTGTGGGTACCTGCGGACGGGACATTCCCACGAAGATGTGGATATGATATTCGGGCAGTTGAGCAAATTACTTCGGGGCAAAAAGTTTGACACGCCAAGCGGCTTGATCAACTTGTTGGAATCAACTATCCACAAGAGAAGAGATGCAGATGCAGCAAAACCGGATTCAGAAAAACCTTCTCGGCTGCAAGGGGCCCAAGCCTCTCCCTACAAACTTGATCAATGCGCATGTTGGAAACGCTTTGTGAAACAGGTAGGAGTTGTATTCAAGGGGGCCCGACTCTTGCCATAAAGTGAAAACAATGTGAAACCTTTTTTTTATACACAGAATCTTATGACCCATAATAGAAGCTAGGCTGGAGATAGTTCTTGAAATGTCAGTTTTTGGAATTCTTTGTTTGTTGAGGACATGTCCACTACATTCGCTTCTGCCGCCGTGGAGACATTGAAATGGCAGTCTGGGAGAATTGTGGGCAAGTCGATGAATTCAACACCACGGGCAGAAATCAGTGACCCCTTCGGCCAATGACACCTGCGCAGTTGTCAAACGATGGATGGCTGATAGAGAGGTGACCAGGGTGGTGCCATTGATTCCAGCCTCCGTGGTTGACCAAATCCGACAGGGGTTTCATTTGCCAGAGGGCGTTGCAAGCAGGCGTTCCATTGGAGCAAGCGTTGCGGCCAATGTGCAACGCTATGCACCCCATTCCATGAAAAGAGGAGAGCTGTCGGAGGCAGCCGGAAAATACCTCTTGGACTGGTCCAGTGGGTGCTTGGATCAAATCCAAAGGCCTTCCCACTATTCTGTGTTGCATCGCAGACTAGAGGAATTTAGAGATGAGACCATCCACAATGGAATATGGTCTAAACCTTCCCGGTACAGGCACATTGACTTGACCATTGCTGGCCCTGAAGTCGGTGATAGTGAATCTGACTCAGAGGGGCCTGTAGACCTTCCACCAGCATTGGTAGATGCATGAAACATGAGTGGGTCTGGAGAATTCTGGAAAACCTTTTCTCGGTCGTGCACTGTGTAAGTGATTTATATGTTCTATCCGTTTTGTTTTTTGGGTGTGTGTTTATCTTATGGCCTCCACACCGCAGGAACCAATCTCTGCCTTTGACACCATGTCGACTTGTCGCCCGTGAGTTGAATAGAGTGGGTTAAACACAGTTGAACGTCCAGTGGCATCTACCCCATGTTTCCTGATGGGTCAAACAACCAAAGGGTAGCATGAGCTCACATGAATTGACCCATCACACTTTCCAGGACCTTCGCAGCAAGGGATGATGTCCTTCAGCAGTCTGACGACGATGAGCAGAACGCAAGCTGCGCTGCTTCGGTTTTGGCGCAGTTCTTTGATCCAACCATTACATTTTTTCTATATTTTATGCAATGTTTGATCCAAATATGTGGGGTGGTGCTTTTTTGGCACTTGGCACTGTTTAAGGTCTGATGTTGAATCCAACGGTACAATGCTGGAGACGTCGGATGACGAGAAGACCCTAGACCTCGGCTTTTGGGAGGTGGAGAGGACTACCAAGAGCGAACGGTCCATGAAGCCCTTTCCAGGAGTGCATGTTTCCAGCGATGGTATTCTCGAGGACTCCCGCGAGCTGCTGGACAGGCCCAAGTGTCACATGCCGGACCCTTCTGCCACTCATGTCTTGTCCAGCAATTTGTTTGGTTTTGGGGGTGGGGTTTGGGGTTTGGCTTCATACAGCAGTTGAGAAACTGAAAGTTGTGAGGGTTCAACGCTTCTCGGGGCAACTGAGATTCGCAGCTTTGTGAATGAAGCCATCTCCAACAAGTTTGAGCAGATCGCTCATACTTGCAAAGGGATTGGTGACCATTTGGATGGCTGCCTCAAAATGGGAACCATTTGCAGTGGCATGGGTACTGCTGAGATGGTGGCTTCCCTTTTCTGTGAGGTTTGGAATGACCGTGCTTTCTTGGCTCCTGCCCCCATACAGGCCGGGGTCATTCGCTGACACTCTTCATCACATTGGTTTGGTTATATAGTTGTTTTCCCCTGGTAGTGCCATCCACACCCGAATTAAAACATCCCTTTGCCCCTGCCAGATCGAGCACAAGTTCACAGTAGAGATTGACAAGCCAAAGCGTGACTATCTGGCCACACATTTCCCGCGAGCAATCCACTTCAAGGACATGGCTGATATGGGAAACGAGCATGCAGAAACGCACAATGGGCAGTACCTTGCGATCCCCAAGGTTGGGGGTTGTCAAAAGCTGGGAAAGGAGGGCGGGTTGGTCACTGTTTGCAAGGTTTCCTGATTTGTGGTCCTTAGATTGGTTGAATTTGGTGCCTGTTCCATGCAGGTGGATGTTCTTTGTGCAGGGTTTCCTTGCATCAGCATCAGCCCATTGACAACCACTCCTGGTTCTGTAAATGATGAGGGTTGCAGCAGCGGCCACGGCTTCCACTCCATCATGCGCTACGTTCGGAAGAAGGAGCCACGGGTGGTTCTACTGGAAAATGTCCAGACACTTTTTCACCGCCGCAAACAGGAGAAGGGAGCGAGACCGCAGCTCAGTTCAAAACAAGATGAAAGTTGTCCTTTCTTTTGTTCATCTTCCCACAATTCATGCTTGTCCTCTCTCTCCTTCTTTGGTGCCAGGTATGATATCGTGCGTGATGCTTTGGTTGATGCGGGCTACGATGTGGCTGCTGCCGTTTTCAACACACTTGAATTTGGTCCAGCCCAGTCGCGGAACCGAGCCTGGATCATAGCCGGCAAGAAGCCCTTTCTGGCCAAGGATGCAATCCAGGATGCTGCCACCTACAAAGTGCAAACTTTTCCACTGAGCCACTTCATTGAGGCGCAGGATGTTGCTCTTGGGCAGCTCGCAGCTTACCCACCGGCAAGGTACCAGAAAGCAGAGTCTGGGGAGAAGTGGAAGGACACGTTCAATCAGGTCTCCAAGAAGTTTGGCAAAGCGACTCATCCTTATCCTTGTGGATTCAAATTTGTTTGAAGCATGTTGCATTGACTATTTTTGGTAGGAATCATTGGCAAAACGATGCAAAAAGGTTTGAGAGGGGAAAGGGTCATTATTTCTGTCATGCAAGGCGAAGGTTATGGCAACTGTGAAGGAGATCACCCCCAAGGCGACTTCTTGCTCCAAGCGCGAAGTGTCCATTCTAGCCACTGCGTGCAAGGACATGGAGAACCGGGGCATAGAGCCAATGAAGACATTGACTGTGATCCAGGTTGAGTCTTGTTACATTTCATCAAAATATGTGTTTCATTCTGTCAATTTAGTCAAGAGGAAACAAGGCTAGCACAGGCTAGGAGACCCCCCAAAAGACCTTTGCTGATCGTTTTTGAAATGCAAAAGCCAAGGACCAAAACTTTGAGCGGCAAACATTCCCAAAGGGCATGAGCAGCGAGGCACCTCACATGTGCTGCCTCATCCCCAAAGGCAAGTACATAGTTACGGGCCCTGGTGAGTTCAGACGCCTGACTGTACAGGAGATCCAGTTTTGGGTTCAAGTTTCAAGGAAAAATGCCTCTTGAATGTCATGAGTAATACACCTTATTGTTTTCCCTGTGCAGGAGATGGCAAAGCTGCAAGGATTTGGTTGGGAGGATTGGGCCCGTTTTGGCATGGGCGACGTCCACCCGACCCTGATGCAGAACATGCTCGGGAATGGGTTTCTTGAAGTTTCACAACCTGCTGTATGTTTTTTTGTTTTGAGCTGTTGGATGCGTTTTTGTATTGGGCTGTTGGAGACTTTTGTTTTGGGCTAGTTCTGCACGCAAGCAACGACAGGTTCTCTACGCCGGTGTTCCTGGCTTGCTTTGTGAGTGCGCTGACCCACTGCGATGCCTGGCAGCCGCGTTTCTGTGCACCAGCTTTGCGGCGGCTTGAACGGCTGAATTTGCCGCGTCCTGTGAGCGGAACGTCAGATGAGGCAGCGAGTGATCCGACCAGCTCATAATTTGCAAAGGCTTGCACAGCAGGCGTTGCAGTAGACGGGTTAGGACCTTGGTGCTGGTTGTAATAGAAACATCTAGCAATTTTTGTCATAAATGGTTTGACATATTTGAAGATAGTGAGCATATGTGAGCATCAAGGTTGAGTTCCATCTCGCGTTTGATTCCAAGCGCGTATTAGCAAAATAAGTAACATCGTGTTGGATGAATCCATTTACAGTTCAACATTATGTCAGGTGCATTGCAGGTTTTTCCCGACAGATTTTGTTCAAGGGCTGCTGTCACTAGTTGTCACGGAGATGCCGCCCAAGAAGAAGCAAAAGCTCACTACCAATGTCAAAGGCTCTAGCGGAGCCGCCTTGACCATGGGGGATGTCAGCCCCTTTCAGGTGAAGTTGAGAGACTGGGTTACTCAGGTCTACAGCCTTCGGCATGGAGCACCGGAGGCGCTTCCTTGGCCAATTGAGGGTGGTGGGAGCATCTTGTCTGTGTGCCAGCGATGCTGGAAGGACCAAGCAGGCCTCGTGGCAGGCTTTTGTGACTTGGTTCAAAAGGTTGGCATCGCATCAGAGTCTATGACGCCTGATGTCTTTGAGGAAAAGTTCATGACCAGTCAGGAGTGGGATGTGCATTGGTCATTTGTTGAAGAACTTTTCTGGAATTTGTTGTCATTTGTTGCAAAGGTCTGGAAACATTGTCATTCTTCATTTGTTGCAACCAGGAGTTTCCTCCCAAAGAGGGATCAATGTTGGCGACTTGCATTCTTCAGTGGAGCCTTGATGACTGCAGCTTCTGGCGTTCCCCTTCAATGGCTTCTGTCGTTGACATCTCCAAAAGCATTGCTCTAGCGGGCTGGAAGGAGGCTGACATACCATTGGTTTTGTTAGAGTTGGGGATATTGGGAGGGAATTTCTAGCCAAAACTGGACAGCTGCCAGAAGCCTGGTTTTGGAGAGCTCTTCTAGGAAGTGCTAGCCATAGGGAATACTTAGCTCCTATTGAGGACATATATATTTTTTTTAGAAAAATATATTTCCAGGCCCATTTCCACCAATAGCCTCTAAGAATTGGCTATGGAGAGCTCTTCTAGGAAGTGCTCGCCGTAATCAACATCCACAAGCCATGGCCATTTTGGATAGAAATTCTAAAACCAAAATCCTGGTCCCCAAGAATCTATGGAGAAATGTCAAACTCAGATTCCTGGTCACCAAGATCTATGGAGAGCTCTTCCGGGAAGTGCTCGCCGTAAACCCTCAATGTTGGTTTAGGAATCGCTCGCCATAGCCCCTGAGATGGGAATCGCTCGCCGTGCCGTACCGTAACCCTTTCAGAAATCGCTCGCCATAGCCCCTGATATGGAAATCGCTCGCCGTAAACCTCTCAGAAATCGCTCGCCATAGCCCCTGATATGGGAATCGGTCACCGTAAGCCCAACGCCCAAAGTGACCGGGGTTTAAAATGCTACTGTTGGGTGCTTTAGGTCCAGTCTGGAAGTTTGAAAAACCTGACACTGTAACTGTATAGTTCCCTGTGTTTTATGATGTTTTATGCGCGGGACGCATCTACTGTACCAGGAACACTTGGTGCAATATGATAAGTATTCCATTCAAGATCTAAAAGCTTTTCTTGTTTTGTTGTGACACACGAAATATGAAACACGGACATTCCAGCCTATCACCCTTGGATGTGTTGAATTTGGTTTCACTGTCGGTCAACGGCTGAGTTTGGTCTCAGAGCAAAAAAAGACTAATGCATCAGGATATCAAATAATGTAAAAAAGGTGGCACTGGGTGGATACTTTTTAGACAACACTCGTTCTTCTATCTCTTTTCATGCAGAATAATATGGCTGTTGTTTATGCTCGGCCTTTGAATGCTTGCCAATTCCTTCCTGCCCCGAGGGTGAGATGATCGGACTCCGTCTACCTCCCGGAGTGGACCTGAAGAATGTTGACTCTGAGTATGGCCTCTACATGTTTGACGACGGCGGCCAGAAGGCGTTGGCTGCTGCGCTGGTGTTGCTGGGATGCTTGCACCTTGCCGGGACAGAGCCCATTGAGAGTCTCCGCCATCCCCATGTCACTGGGCTGGTGAAGGGGCTGCTCCAAATCCCAACATTGCACAAGAGTCAGGCTTCTGATGAAGTCAGCCAGATGCTTCAGAGGATAGTCAAGCAGAACGTAGATGCCAAGAAACTCCCCGTCAGCAGCTTTGAATGGTGTGGAATTTTGGAGAGATTGGGAGAGGAAAGCATCGGCTCCATCTCTGAAGCAGTGCAAAAATACAATGCGACCCCTGAAATTTGCGCACACGGCTCCAACACTGAGTCTTGTATGAAACATGCAGGGCTAATAATGATTATAAACCAGTTCCATGTTGAACAGTGATTTCCAACAAATATATATGCCGGATATGTATGGATATGTTTCATTGCCCATACCCGACGGACTGAGACCGAGGAAGCCAATGACCGGAGTGCCAGTGGCAGCCTCATGATTGATTCAAAGAAATGCTATGCCATTGGTCATTGGATGCACAAGTGCTGCAAGGAGGCAAAGGCCATAGTCATGGACGCCATGCAGGATGCCCCATTCCAGTATGGACCTTTTGGAGAGGGTCTAGCCCAAATGCCACAGCTATTCATTGGGAGTAAGGCTGACGGCATGCGGTCTTCTCCTGAAAGTGGCCTGTTTCCTTTGGCCAACGAAGAGACCCTGCGTATTGATTGGGACCTCACTTTGGAGTCTCATGGACAGGCCATGCTGTTTGAGCGAATCAAACGGGCATTTGAGATGAATACAGCAATAGTGGCAGAGGTTCGGGACAAAAGAAAATACAGAATGTCACTCGAGGATTTGACATCTGTCAGAAATCTCTGTGCACTTTGGCAGCAAATCAGAGCATTCTGCATGACCCGGATCCCAGACGAGTTTACAAAGCTTGATGAGAGACTTCGGAGCGGCAGTTCCATGGACGAGCAACTCCAGCCTTTGTTCCAAGAATGCCCCAGTGTCTTTAGCATCTCAATGCTCCCACTGACTCAAAAGGCCGCACTGACTGAGCTGAAGCTGAAAGAGGAGTCTGTCACAGTTGAGGTCGAGCGACAACGACTGGAGCTCCGAGCTGCCAAATGGAAATGGTTCCAGGGAGCACTTGCAAGAGATCAGTCCCAGATGGCATTGATATCTCAAGCACCTGAGAAGATTCAAGCACTCAAGCACAGGAAGGTAATGTCATGGAGGCTTGAACAGGCAAAGGTTGGAGAACGTGTGGTCCTTGCGTATGCAGACAAGTTCCTTCGGTGCAGGCAAGTGGAGAAGTTGCAGCACCTTCACGAGGTCCTTCATGAGTACCGGTCATTTGTTGCATCTGGGCTGCAGTGTTGGTAGTCGTATATTTGGGGTCAATTGTTGGTGCCTTTTTTGGAGGGTCATGGAGGGTCCATGAGTTGATCAACTGTTTGATCCCAAGGCAGAATCTGCCGGGATCAAGCAAACAGACTTGTGCATGGTGAGCTTCTGCGACTTAAACGTGCCGCTGGCCAACTCGAAAGAGCGCATGGGCGAGCTGATGCAGGCCATTGCTTGCATCAACGATATCCAGCCTTCCAAGAACATTGGGATCGTGGAGTGCGCAGAGCATCCTCGCAAGAGCTCACGTCGGGGGCACGCCGACGAGGAAAAAGAGCTGCAAGAGGAACTATGGGCATTGAGGCAGCAGTGCGACACGCGATGGATATTACCATTTGAAGTACCTGCATCGGCAGAGGCACACAGTTCACGCAGGCACAGCTCTGCAAGAGAAACATGTTTAACAAAGGGGGGTCAAAACCAGGAAGTTTCAGAAAGTGTGTGAAGTTAATTGTAACTGAGCTTACTGTATTTATATTTCATTTCACAGACATTTACAGACTGTCTTTGTGCCATGCGCGCTGAAAGGAGGTGGAGTTTTGGCCGCTTGGTGACCAACAAGGAAGCGGAAGAGACCAATCAGTTCATGGTTGCCTCAGAACTGGCATTAGCCGGACGACCGCTCACTGACAAGAAGATCGTGATTCCTCTGTCCAAGGACCTTCTCCTTCCAGAATCACTGGAGGCTGACGAGGACCTGAAACAAGCAGACAGACAGAGGCCTAGCGCCGAGGCCATCGCGGCGCAGAAAGGATCCGACAGGTACCTTGCGCTCTTTCGGAGCCTGTTCAGCCTTTCAGGAGATGGGCTCGCCAAGCAGGCAGTAATCCTGATCAACTTGACCGGCTACGTCGAGGAGCTTGGCGCTGCGGCTTTTCGCCAGAATTTGGCACTCTGTAGTAAAGCTATACCATTATGTTTGCAGTGGATCTGTCATGGGCTCCTTATCAGATGAAAACATCCTAAATATTATTTCTAAACAATAGGTTGGGACATCCACTAACTGTTGCCCTTACTGGTTGCTTAGTGGTTAGTTCGCCCATACGTTGTTTAGCCTATTGCAAGGCGGACACAAGACTCCAGAAATGACCCAAACATGCCAATCAAAGCAAAAACAACCAGTGAGCCTGTTGCTCAAAAATCATGTGCAAGTCTGTTATTCACAATTCTGCGGAGCCAAACCTTTAGAGCGGCAGAAATTACATGATTCCAACAAACCTTTGGCTGGCAAGTATGTGTAAGTATATGGACAGGCTGGACTCGGACCTTACCTTACATAGAATTGGGCACAGGCAGGTGTTTGTCGGACCAACATGGTTGTGGTTCCAATGCTAAATACCAAGTTCGCAACAGTTCGCAAACAATGTTTTTTTTTTAAACACCAAGAAACAGCAGGTCTTGGTGTGTTGACTGGTTGAATAGTTGAATAGAACGGGGCATAGATGCAATGTTTTTTCTTGCAAAGAAAACATTGGCAAATCCTGAAGCCGAGGTGAAGGTTGACAAGGAGATGATTGGTGCATGGAGCGTGGACAATTTGTACTACCTCTCTGCATCATGGCTTTCTCGCGAGAAGTTTGGACAGTGTAGATTGCAACGGGATGTCCTTCGTGCCTGGATGGACCGGAAACTCCAGTATGGAGGCCAGCAATTTGAGGACAACCCGCCAGAGCTTTCGCAGGCAGAGATCGCCGGCATCCCGGGTGGCGAGGCGTCAATGCAAAACATGGACGGCCTGCGGTGGGAAGTGCTGGAGCGCAACGGCACCAAGCTTTGCATAAAGCAGGATGAACACCGTTTTTGGTCCAGCCAAACAGGGGAAATTGGAGAAACCTATGCTGCCCTCAAAGCACAGCACGATGTTCAAGCTGAGCAGTTCATTGGCTTTGCTGTGGATGCTGCTGAGGCTCAAATTGCAGCGGCAAATGGACCTGCTGGTGGTGAGGACCCTGGTCGGGGCATGTGTTGTTTGTGTGTTTGTTTTCAAGTGGCTCTTCAAAAGGGCTTTGTTCGTTCCAAGACATGGCAGGATGCTACAACATCGACACCGGAGTCCCCTTCTTCACCTGTCACCTTTGACTCCCTGGAGAAGTTGAAGGAAGAGCACGACATTGAGCATCAAATACCGTCCGAGGCAACAGGTGTGCAATTGGTGCTGGCAAAAGATGGCCGGGTCTTTGTGGTGGCAGATCGTGATCGTGTGTTGCCGAAACACACTCAGCTCGGAGGCTTCGGAGCTGGCCAATACATGAAGGCTTCAGAATGCGGTGAGGGCATCCCTTTCAAGCTGGCTCTCAAGGATCGCACCTTGGTGCAAGTTGATGAGTCCACGCTGAGGGAGAGTGCAGCCACCAACGCAGTGTCGACCCAATCGCTATACAAACTTCTCATTGCTTGTGAGAGGGAAAAACAAGTCACCCAACACAAGCTCTCCTACCACCGAGTCACTCGGCTTGCAGATGGTCAAGTGGAAGCTGGTTCAGACGGCTTCAACGTGGAAGCCACCCAGGACATGAAGTTTCGCGTGGTGCACAATGCGGAGTCCAAACTGGTGTGCAAGAACGCCTTTGCCAGGGTGCCTTACCAAGCGATTGACAGATCCCCATACCTTCTGAACCTATTCAGATTTCGCTTTGAGCGAGTGGGGCAGTCTTTGAAGGCGCAAAAGCCATATGTTGTGACCAAGATCGGGATCAACCTTGTGAAGGGGAAACCTGTACAGCTGACAGTGCACAGCGACAGCTAGACTCTAGGCCTTTGCTGAGACCGATGCGTCTTGCTTTGGCCCATCTCTGCAAGTTGTGCCAATTGCCAGCTTGTTGAAAGCATTGGGGTGTTGGGTCCATAAGACAGCTGGTTTTGTTCCTCGTAGATGGCCACATTGGGGCACTGAGTTTACATGTGATATTGAGTATACAATTGTTATTATTCTTCTGTAGAGTTGATGAGGAGCATTTTTGTCAACAAGTAGTTTCTAGGTTTTGGCAGGACATATCATTCATTGTATGCGTCAGTGCAGGTGGCCAAGGCTATCCAGTTCTGTCTTACTCAGAAAGGTTGTCTCAGATTCCAGGTTCCAGCGCGCAGCATTGCAAAAAACAGTGATGTCATTCAACGACCTTCAGATATCTTCAAATACCTTGCCAGAGTACGCATGGAGGGAGATGCCAAAGCTGCAGCCCTTCAGGTTCTCAGTACGACCGGCTTCCATGTTCAATGGCAGCCCCTAACTCATTCATAGCGTTGATGGCAGCTGATGATGTATGGTTCTACCTTCATTGCAGCCTGTCAGCTCTCTCTTTGGTAGCAGTACTCGCCGCATTGCAGTTTGGTTTCTGGAATTGCCGGGCTTTATGCAAACGACATCTTCACGCACATGAGCCCTCTTTGTCCCCGAGGACATCTACGGCATGCCGGTGCCAGTGCACATCCAGTAGATCAAGTGAGAGTTTCACGAATGAGTTTACCACTCAAGACAAAATGATTTTTATTGCTCCGACCGGAACGCGTTGGCATAGTAGTGAGACCTGTTTCCATTTATTGCACAGTGCACAGAAGTCTAAGCTTCGCAGGCTTCTGCCTTGCCAGAGCTGTGCCCAAAGGGACCACAGGGGCTGAGGCAAGAACATTGGCTTGGCCCAAACATTGTTAATTAATCATATAAATTCGTGCATCATTTGAGCAATGACCGGAGAGGGAAATGGTGCATTGGGTTCATTTCACTCTGCATTCGGTCCAGCAACTTAACTGCGATTTGTTGGGCAGGTTTCTTTTCAGAACGTGCGATTCAGAAAGTTCTGCTCAAAGCCAATTGTGAAGTTTTTGTATAGGTTCATGTTCATGAGCGATGCAGGGGGCAGCCTTTGATATCAGAGCTACCATTCTGCAAAATTTGGCATCGGCTGGTACCAGCGCTGGGGCATCAGCAAGTCCAGTAGCCTCTGCAAGAGTACCGGCAACCCCACCGGGAAGCACCAGCCCACAGGTTCTGAATCAATCTCCAGTTGATCAGGAGACTCGCCACACCCCAGAAGATCGTGCCAATCGCGGAAGCAAAGGAAACAGTGGAAATCGGACAGATGGTACTCAGGTTTAACCAGTAGTTTGGAGGTTTTCCAAATTTGTTTTGTTCCTTTTGTTCTAGGCCAATAACTTGAGAACATTATGTTCAGCCGGCTTTGCAATCTGAGGTGATCGTGGGAGTAGGCCAATGAAGAGGCCATCAGCGAGCATTACTCCGAAGGCGCTTCCCTCATCTAGTGGCAAGCCTCTGAAGCCAGTTTTGAAGAAGCCAAGTGCGTCCAAAGTTTTGTCAGAACACGAAGAAGGCCAAGAGGAGGGCGAGGAGGAAAAGGAGGTGATGGATCTACCAGTAGATGATGAACTTGATGAACCCCCCAAAAAACGGGGCCAAGTTCCAAAGAAGCCGGCCACCAAGACCAAGGAAGAACCAACATCTCGGGAACCTGAACCTCGAAGAGGGAAATCTGAATTGGTGGCTGTTGAATACCATGGAGATTGGACCATGTTTATATACAAGCGCAGCACTTCCGGCACCCCCTTCAACAAGTTTGTAGGACCAGATAATAAAAAGTATTGGACAAGATCGGGGGCGGAGAAGGCTGGCTTTAAGTGTATGGCCAATCCTCCTTGCGACCGCAAAGGAGATTCGTGAGAATCGACAAGTGGCTGCGACAGCAAAGACAAAAAGGGTGCAAAGCTGCTTACAAACATACCCTTGAATCAAAGAACCCAGAGTCATGAAAGAACTATCTTTGGGTAAAGTTCCTTTACAGTGACAGGCAGAAATACCTGTCGACGACCAGAACTCAGGTCCGAGTGCTATGCCCTGCGGTCACGATGTCGATGACTACGCCTGGATACTTGGTGCAGGAGCTTGAGACAGGGAAGCTGTTCCATACCGGTGACATCGTCCAGGTTGGAGAGGCCCCGGAAGAGCTGGAGTTGCCAATGAGGGAAGCCGGCTTCATCCACGAGGTCGATGACAGGGAGGAGATCGACCAACCGCGGAAGCGACCAGGAAGAGTGAGGAAATGCTGGGGTACCCCGTCGAGACCGAGGGAGGAGTCAAAGGCCGTGGACTGGGGGGAGCTGCAGCACCGGGGAGCACAAATCCTGGCTCGTGAACTGAGTCTCCTGGAGGAAGACGAGGGGGAGGTCATGAACGAGAGGTTTCTGAAGATGTTGACCGCTGAGGTCGAGGAGATCGTGGAGGAAGCAGTGCGAGAAGGGCACCGTGAGCAGGAAGAGCTGCTAGAGAATGCCGAGAAGGCAGCTGGAAATTCCCAGGAGTTCCTGCAGACCAGGATGGTGGGGTTGGCGGAAGTGAGGAGAAACTTGGAAGAGTGGAGGTCCTCCATGATCGAGGAGTATGTGGCGCTGACCAAGGAGTCGGAGGCGGTCGAAGCCATCGGTCAGGACCAGTCGAATCGATTGAAGGAAGAGGCAAAGGCTCAGGGCAGGGACTTCGACCTGGTACCCGCGAAGGCCATCTTCAGTCGAAAGGCGGGCACTGGGAGGCACAAGTGCAGAGGGGTGGCATGTGGCAACTTCATGAATGCCAAGAGCTCTGAGTCCACGTTCGCTTCAGGAGCCAGCGGGATTGAAGTGAGGACGCTGATCAAGATGGCGGCGATCAACCACTGGTCCTTGAGCACCCTCGATGTCAAGACCGCGTTCCTTAACGCTCCAGCGGCTCAGGACCGTGGGGTGGTGATAGTACAGCCACCAAGAATCTTCCAGGAGGCTGGAGTGCTCCAAGATTCCAAGGAGTTATGGCTTGTCAAGAAAGCCCTCTACGGGTTAGTGACCTCGCCACGGGACTGGTGTGACCACCGAGATGGAAAGATCAAGAACTTCCAGTGGCTGAGAGGAGGTCGGCCAGTGAGAGTGCAGGCCACACCCCAGACGGACATCTGGCTGGTCCAAGAACAG